TTTTTTTTTCTTTGCTTCTGATTTTCACATACACACACACACACGCGTGTGTTGCTCGCACAGAATCGGAATATGGTGGTTGGAAGTGAGTTTGTCGCTGCCGCCACAGCGTTCGTTGAGAACATTGTGGCGGTCGGCGCATGCGGCAACTATGGGTGTCTGAATGCATTCAAACCCTCACGCTTTACGCTGCCGCAGCTGCAGCAGGAGAGCGTTCCGGTGATCCCGCCAAGTGCCGCGGTGCTTAAGGCCGCCATCGTGGCAGAGGACTTCCCGGTAGGGGCGATAGGCCGTCAGCTCTGCAGCTCCGCCGCCCAACTCAGCGTCCCGCTCGAGCAGTATATGAACACTCTCTTCACCGCCGCACAGCTGGAGTTCGGCTGCTCTTTAGAAACCCTCCTGCACTGTCTATGGCTCGTGGAACGGATGCAGACACGGAACATACTCGCACAGCAGAAGGGCACCGTTGCCCTGCGCGACGCCTCTCGCGGCTTCGAAGGGAAGACGGGCAAGAGTCGAGAGAGTGACATCACGCAAAGTTCCCTGTCAGATGTGGAGGCAGTGGCGACACCTTTCACCGGTAGCGACGCCGTTCTTCTTTCCCCAATGCCGTCAGATGTCGTCTCAGTGGGGCCGCTCTCCGACGGGGACGACGAGGTGCTCTGCCGCGCATGTGCGCGGAGTCACGTCTTTAGTCTCCAGCTGTGGAACGTGCAACTCTTCGTCGCCGCGACGCTGCTTCTTAGCATGAAGATTAACGAGGAGGTCTTCGCGGAGGTGGAGGAGGAGGTGCTGGCGGGCTGTGTGGGGGCGGCGGCGAGGTGCGGGACCGATGCGCTGCGCTGCGCGGAGCGGTGTGTGTGTGAGGTGCTCTGGGACGACCTGTGCGTGACGGCGGCGGGGCAGGCGAGTGTCATGCGCCGTCTTGGCGTGCGGTGCCTGTCGCTCTGAGTGGCGCTGGCACACATAGGGATGCGTGCACGCAGGCCATATTGCTACTTTTTGGAGTTGGTTTCGTCAATAGGCTAAGGTTTTTTTTTCTGTCCTTTTTCCTGTGTTATGTGTTCCCTCCCCTCTTGTACTGAAATGATTTTTTTTTTTTTTTGGGGGGGGGTTGTTCTTCCGTGTTTCCTTTTCTTGTCTTCTTCTGTCTTTCTATTTTTTTTGCCTGTTGAAGTTTTCCGTCCACCGCTTCCCTCGCCGCCTCGGTGGTCTTTTTTTGTTTTTGTTTTTGTTTTCACGTGGGTGGGGTATTGCGTGGGCCACATGCACCGCGCAGCGTCGGCCCCCTCACGCTTGCTGTTGTACTCTATTCCCCTGCTCCTCCACACTCAGCAATTGCTGCTTCTGGTGAAGTTGCACAAGGGCAAGGCGAGGCTGGGTACGGTGCCCTTGGGTATGCCTATGTGCAACGTTCCACTTGCAACACAAAGGAATGATACAAACCGCAAAAAGAGAAGGGAGCAATGTGAAAAGGAAGATTTTTCCTTGCATACCAGTTGTGCATGTAGTGGTTGGTGTGGGAACTGAGCTTGTGACGATGTGTTGTTTCAGGCGCTGGTCACTGTTACTTCGTGTGTGTTTTTTTTTGTTTTTTGTTTCTCCACGCCGTTGGGCATCTTGCGCCTGCATTGCAAGCGAAGGGAGTAAAGAAAAGTGAGTTAACAAGCATAGTTATGGTTTTCGCATGCGTCTAACGCATCACAACGCTACCAAACAGCTTGTTGCTGCCGCTACTGTACGTCGTCTGGTGATCCCGTCTCCTAGCTGTTCCACAGGGCATGTGAAGAGCACGACGCAAAGAAACGCGGTGGCGCTGCCTTTATCCTTCACAGCAGCAACATCAGCGGCAGCGATCACAAGTTTTGCTTTGACGTTTAGTGGGCGCACACATTGGACGGGGGCATCAGCAGCAACCCCTCCACTTGCCGGGAAGCAAGTGGATAAGACCGATCAGGAGCAACAGCCCGCCCAGGACGTTTGCGTGCTGGGAACGTTGGACATCTTTGCAAAGTCACGTATGTTGAACTATCTAAGTCGTCACACATCAGCGGCCGATGACGAAGTGGGTGGTGACAGTAGCAGGAAGGGATCCCCTTTCGCCGTTACAAAGACCCCGGACAAGATGCTTTATCGGGCGGAGCTGCTGGTGCCGGTGGAGGCGCTTGTGTCTGGGGTCATGCAACACACAAAACTCTGGGCAGTGGGATACGCTGAAAAGGAAAGAGATGCTATTGTAGCCGCCTGTATGCATGGCGAGCGCTGTCTAGACGCTGTGGGCATACCACTTTTCGCCTCCGACCGGCTGCAGCGCAAGCGTGTTGAGGAGGCGCGGCGTGAAGGCCGCTACGCCCCAATGCCAGGGGACCCAGTTCGGGAGGTGCGTATCGACGATCTGCCGTACCCTGTGCTGCACAAGCAGGATGACAACAGCAGCAGTAGCAAGAGTAGCAGTGGCGCCAGCGCGACCAAGTCATCCAAGTCACGCGTGGCGGCGGCCTCATACCCGGTGCTGCGCAGCTACCAGCCAGACTACCACACGGTGAAGCGGCGGTACAATGACTTCTCACGGCGCTGCGGCGGCGACCCATTCCTTCGTGGCATGGCGGGCGAGCTGGCGTACCTGCAGGCGCGCATTTTTCAGCACAACACGGACTTGCCGGGGATGGACGACTGTGATGATGAAAATACCGAGTTTACAATTGACCCCATCGAGGTGGAGCTGCTGCAGCCGAGCCGAACTACCCCTGAGGTCGCAGCGGCGACGACAACAACAGAGCCACACCCGCACTGTTCCGCCATGCGTCTCGCGTTGATTAACTCTCGCCCACTGAATGAGCACCGCATCGCCGGCTTTGTTGATGAGAGTGAGGGTGGACGCTTTGATTTGGTCGAGGGCGAACAGGACACCTGGTGGATGCACGAGGAGCTGCCAGGACTGGTTTGCCTCTTCGACCCCTTCGCGGCGCAGCGGCTCGACGAACTCTACGCGTCGAGCTTCAATGCGTCGTTTGATGCATGCGTCGAGACGCAAGTGGCGGAGGAGTTGACGCAGGTGGATGTAGGATTCGGACCGCAGTGCCAGAAACAGATCAAGTGGTACACCGCGAGTGCGCCCCTCCCGTCCTACCCATCGCTGCGGGCCGTTGGTAAAGCCATGGACGTCGCCCACGCCGTGGCGCTCTGTGCGATGCACGCAGAGTTACTTCTGTGCTTTCTCGGTGTGCCGCTGTCGGCGAGCACCGAGGAGCAGACCAGCCACTACGATGCGTGCCTGCGTTACGGGCGATTGGTGTCGCCGCTGACGCGGGAGCTGGATGATGGGGTGCGGGCACTGCTGCCAAAACCACTGAAACAGTGGCACCGCATCAAGAAGACACGCAAGCGGGGTGCCCCAATGAACGTGGCAGAGAAACTGGTGGCGCTAAACCGCCGCGTCGTTGCAGACCTCCGTCAGCATCTTGTTGAGGTCGACATTTGTTCCCAGCCGCAGTATCGCGAACTGCTGGAGGTCTCCGTTTCCGCCCTGCGGCAATTCATGGTGGAGCGGCGCCACCCGTATGAGTCGGCCTACGTCAACTACATCTACAGCAAGAACAATCAATTTCGTTGCAGCATTTACTTGCCCCTACCGGAGGTATACGGGGTTCGTGGTGGAAGCGCAATTGGGGCAACACCAGAGAGCGCACGCAAGCTCTGTGCTCTGCATGCAGTTGACACTTTGTGTGCTCTTAATGTACCTCTGACTCACAACGAGGAGAAACTGCAACAGTTGATGGAGCTTCGAAAGCGGTTTGGGCTCATCCTCCCACGCGATCCTACCGACCACAGTGTAAGCAGTAGCATGCTTTGTAACATTCGTTCACCTCCTGGATACCGGGAGGTGCCAGGCTGTGCAACGACGAGGATTCCGCCACACCAGGACGTGTGGAATCTCATGATGGCTGATGCTGGAGACTTCGATGTCGTGAAGGATGTGGAGGCGGAGAAGTGCTACAAGTTGGGTTTACCGGACATAGGCACAGTGCTGCGAGAGCTCTTCCAAACGTACCTGCTGACAGTGGGCTGGACCGCCACCGAACATTGGTCGCGCATGAAGCACTACCAAGGCATGCAACACTGGAACGGCCGCTTACGTGTGCCATGCAACAACTACTGGATGGAGCTCCCTGTGGATGAAAAGATTTACGGCCGGCGTATCGCTCTGGGTCGCTGTATTTTTCGCAAAACAGCTGAAAGAGCATTTCTTATCCACACCTTCCGCATCCTTCACGCTCTTCGGCTCGCCCCATGGGACAACTACTCTGATGCTGTGCTCCTTCAGTTTCTTCGCTGCGCACCCAACAAGAGAATTGAGAGAGAGAGAAAATGGTGGGAGTTTGTTATGCGTGAACTGATCACACCTGCAGCGGATGAGGCTCCTCCAACGATGGGGCCATCAGCGGTGCGCGATGCAGAAGTTGTCATTCCTTTGGACGCCGATCTGAAGGCCATTCTCTCCCCAAATCCGGTAATGACGCATGAGTTAGCGAAGAGGACCTTCGTTTAATTCAGCTAGAAATGCCCTAAAATGCATCAGCAGATTTATTATTGTCGTCGTTATTTGTGTTCTGTACCGTCCTCTCATCACCCTTCCACGTTCTTTCTCTCTTTTTGTTTTCCTATGCGTCTGCGTATGTGTGCCTTGGCCACTGCGTCTCGTTGCCAAGGTGTGACCACGAAG